TAATTAAAAAGTCGTTTCTACGTTTAGCAGAACAAGTTATGATTTTGTGATAGTTGAGGATATCTCTTTAAGGGGGGTTAGAACATATCTCTGGTGTTTGAGGTATTGTATTGTTTTTTATTGAGGTCATAATAGTTTATAACATTGTGAAATTTCAGTTGTACATATTATTTGTCAGTCACCATATAATGTGCCCCTTCACCCTTTGCACCCATCCCCAACCTCCTTGTCCCTGGTAACCACTGAACTGTTCTCTTTGTCCATGTGTTTATCTTCCACATATGAGTGAAATAATATGGTGTTTGCCTTTTCTGTCCAGCTTATTTGGCTTAACATAATACCCTCAAGGTGCATCCATGTGCTTGCAAATGGGACAATTTTGTCCTTTTATTATGGCTGAGTAGTATTGCATTCTATATATATACCACATCTTCCTTATCTAGTCCAGTCGTGGGCGCTTGGGTTGCTTCCACATCTTGGCTATTGTGAATAGTGCTGCAGTGATCATAGGGGTTAATAAGTCTGTTTGAATAGTTGATTTCAAGTTCTCTGGGTAAATGTCAAGTAATGGGATAACTGGGTCGTAGGGTACTTGTATTTTTAATTTTTTGAGAAATTTCCATACTGTTTTCCATGGTGGCTGCACCAGCTTGTATTCCCACCAGCGGTGGATGAGGGTTCCCTTTTCTCCACAACCTCTCCAACATTTGTTATTTTTTGTCTTGGTGATTATAGCCATTCTAACAGGTGTAACATGATACCTAAGTGTAGTTTTGATTTGCATTTCTCCCATGAAGGGGAATGGAGGTACTATGGACAATCAGACTGCAGCAACTTCTGTGCAGATGTGACTCAGCATGTCTGCTGCAGGCAGCACATGGGCCAACCATGTATGTAAACACCTTATGTAACCTGCATCATGTCAACACTGCTGGCTGTCTGCCACTTTTGTCTAGTAGTCATATAAAAGGGGCCACAAGAGCAGCTGTGCCCCCTCGCCCCCCACCGTCTGTCGGCCAGAGTGAATAAAGAGTATGTCTGCCTTGCCATTGGCTGCTGGCAGCTTTCTCAGTTCTCTGAGCCCCGTGGTCCCATCCTTGGCTGTTTCTCTCCTGCATACACTTGAGGATTAGTGATGTTGAATATCTTTTCATGTGTTTATTGGCCATCTGTACATCTTTGAAAAAATGTCTGTTCATATCCTTTGCCCACTGTTCAATCGGCTTGTTTGTTTTTTGTAGTTCAGTTGTGTGAGTTCTTTATATATTATAGAGATAACCCCTTGTCGGATATGTGATTTGCAAAGTTTTCCTCCCAGTTGGTGCATTGTCTTTTCGTTTAGACCCTGCTTTCCTTTGCCTTGCAGAAGCTCTTTAGTCTGATGAAGTCCCACTTGTTTATGTCTTTTGTTTCCCTTGTCTGAGTAGACATTCGATTTGAAAAGATCCCTTTCGGACTGATGTGAAAGAGTATATTGCCTATATTTTCTTCTACAAGTTTTTGGTTTCAGGTCTTACCTTCAAATCTTTGATCCATTTTGAGTAATTTTTGTGTATGGCAAAAGATAATGGTCTACTTTCATTCTTTGGCATGTGGCTGTCCAGTTTCCCCAACACCATTTATTGAAGAGACTTTCCTTTCTCCATTGTATGTTCTTGGCACCTTTGTCAAAGATTAGCTGTCTGTTGACGTGTGGGTTTACTTCTGGGATTTCAATTCTGTTCCGTTGATCCAGGTCCCTGTTTTTGGACCAGTACCAAGCTGTTTTGATTATTATAGCTTTGTAGTATATTTTGAAGTCAGGGATTTTTATCCCTCCAACTTTGTTTTTTTTTTCTCGGCCTCGCTTTAGCTATTCAGGGTCTTCTCTTGCCCCATATGAATTTTCGGATTCTTTGTTCTATTTCTGTGAAGAATGTCATTGGGATTCTGCTTTAGATTTCATTGAATCTGTAGATTGCTTTAGGTAGTATGGACATTTTAAGTGTGTTTATTCTTCCAATCCATGTGCATGGAATAGCTTTCCGTTTCTTTATGTCATTATTGGTTTCTTTCTGTAATGTCTTACAGTTTTCATTGTATAGACCTTTCACCTCCTTGGTTAAATTTACTCATAGACATTTTGTTCTTTTTGATGTGATTGTAAATGGGATTGTATTCTTTACTTCTCTTTCTGTTAGTTTGTTTTTGGAGTATAGAAATGCAACTGATTTATGTAAGTTGATTTCGTACCCTGCAACTTTGCTGCAGTTGTCGATTATTTCACATAGTTTCTCAATGGATTCTTCAGGGCTTTCTATATATAAAATCATGTCATCTGCAAACAGTTAGAGTTTCAATTCTTCATTGCCTATTTGGAGTCCTTTTATTTCTTTGTCTTGCCTAAGTGCTTTGGCCAAAACCTCCAGTACTATGTTGAATAAGAGTGGTGAGAGTGGGCACCCTTGTCTTGTTCTTGTTCTCAGAGGGATGGCTTTTGATTTTTCCCTATTGAGTATGATGTTGGCTGTGGGTTTGTCATATGTGGCCTTTATTATGTTGAGGTAATTTCCTTCTATATCCATTTTGTTGAGAGGTTTTTTTTTAAATTTTTATCATAAATGGATATTGGATCTTATTAAATACCTTCTCTGCATCTATTGAGCTTATCATGTGGTTTTTGTTCCTCATTTTATTAATGTGGTGTATCACATTGATTGATTTGCGGATGTTGAACCATTCTTGCATCCTTGATCAGTATAAATCTCACTTGATCATGGTGTATGATCCTTTTAATGTATTGCTGTATTCGGTTTGCCAATATTTTGTTGAGGATTTTTGCATCTAAGTTCATCAGTGATATTGGCCTGTAGTTTTCCTTCTCTGTGTTGTCCTTGTCTGGCTTTGGTATCAGGGTGATGTTGGCCTCATAGAATGTGTTAGGAAGTGTTCCATCTTAATCAATTTTTTGGAATAGTTTGAGAAGCATAGGTGATAAATCTTCTTTGAATGTTTGGTAGAATTCTCCAGAGAAGCTGTCTGTTCCTGGACTTTTATTCTTTGGGACGTTTTTGATTACTGTTTCAATCTCTTTACTTGTGATTGGTCTATTCAGATTCTCTATTTCTTCTTGATTCGGTTTTGGGGGTTGTAAGAGTTTAAGAATTCCTTTATTTCTTCTAGATTGTCCAATTTCTTGACATATAGTTTTTCATAATAGTCTCTTATAATCTTTTGTATTTCTGCATTATCTGTTGTAATTTCTCCTCTTTCACTTCTAATTCTATTTACTTGAGGCTTCTCTCTTTTTGTCTTAGTGAGATTGGCTAAGGGGTTGTCAATTTTGTTTATCTTTTCAAATAACCAGCCGTTTGTTTCACTGCTCCTTTCTACTATCTTTTTTTGTTTCAATTTAATTTATTTCTGCTCTAATTTTTATTGTTTCCCTCCATCTGCTGAGTTTGGGCTTTGTTTGCTCTTCTTTTTCTAATTCTTTTAGGTGTAGTGTAGGATTGCTTATTTCAGATTTTTCTTGTTTGTTAAGGTAAGCCTGTATTGCTGTAAGTTTCCCTCTTAGGACTGCTTTTGCTGCATCCCATGTGAGTTGCTATGGTGTGCTTTCAATTTCATTTGTCTCCAGATGCTTTTTGATTTTCCCTTTGATTTCTTCATTGATCCGTTGGTTGTTCAGTAGCATGTTGTTCAGTCTCCACATCTTCGTCCCTTTCTCAGCTTTTTTCTTGTCGTTGATTTCTAGTTTCATAGCATTATGGTCAGAAAAGATGCCATATGAGTTCATCTTCTTAAATTTCTGGAGGCTTGCCTTGTTTCCCAACATATGGTCTATCCTTGAGATTGTTCCATGAGCACTTGAGAATAATGTGTATTCTGCTGTTTTTGGATGGAGTGCTCTATATATGTCTATTAAGTCCCTATGGTCTAGCTTTTCATTTAATTCCACTATTTCCTTTTAGACTTTTTGTTGGGATGATATTTCCGTTGATGTGGGTGCAGTGTTGAGGCCCTTTGCTATTATTGTGGTGTGGTTAATATCTCCTTTTAGGTTTGTTAATAGTTACTTTATGTACTTTGGTGCTCCCGTGTTGGGTGCATATATATTTACAAGTGTCATGGCTTCTTGGTGGATTGTCCTTTTTATCATCATATACTGCCCCTGTTTGTCTCTCTTTACTTGTTTTTTCTTGAAATCTGCTTTGTCTGATGTAAGTATGGCAACATCTGCTTTCTTTTGTTTTTCATTAGCTTGCATATCCTCTTCTGTCTCTACACTCTGAGCCTGTGTTTGTCTTTGGAGCTGAGATGTGCTTCCTGGAGGCAGTATATTGTTGGGTCTTGTTCTCTAATCCATCCTGCCACCTCTGTGTCTTTTGATTGGGGAATTCAATCTATTTTCATTTGTAGTGATTATTGCTATATGAAGGCTTAATGCTGCCGTCTTATCACTCATTTTCTGGTTCTTCTGCATTTGAGATAGTGTATTTTTACAACAAGAATGAATTCACGTTTTACTTCTTACGAAAAACAAATAAAAATTTAAAAATACTGTGCCTTTCTCAGGTAAAGGCAAGAATGCAGTTGCCGAGAGGCTCACTCTAAGGGATGACGTTTTCCAGCTCTGACTCCTAACATGCGCTCTGCCCGCAGTGCTGCTTGAACTTCATTCTGCCTGCAGAGCGCCATACATACAGACACCTGCTGTCTTCTGTTAAACTGCAGGTTCTGGTCAGTAACCATTAGGCCTTCACCTTCGGTCTGGAAGGAAGACTTCTGTGAGGCAACCTCATGGTCCGTGTGTTAAATATTCTATCAAAATACTTTAAAAATTGATACCTCAATTGGTTTGCACTTCTTACTCCACATCCAACACCAAAGCAATGCAATGAGTAAAGAAAGAAAAACAGGTACAGATTCTTTAAAGAAACACCAAGCAGTCATTATTTGCAGCTTGCATAATTGTCTACCAAGAAAACTTCAGAGTTTGATGGCAAATACTGAGAGTTCAATAAGACACTCACAGCAAGATCAACATTCAAAATCAATGGTTTTCTATCAAAACAAAAACCAATTTTAAAGTACAATAGGAAAAACTGTTTAAAATTTTGTAAAAACTTCAAAAATACCTAGGAAGAATCCTGCAAGAAATGCCTGAAGCTCTCAAGGAGAAACTGTAAGTGAAACGGAAAGAAATCATAACCTCCATAAAGAGGCAGTTTACTGGGGGGGTGGGGATTCTTAATATGGTCAGGAACCATCTCCACAGTCAATTCATCTCCACAGTCAACACAGTCATCAATTCCTAAGACATTTTTCATGGAACGTAGTAAACTAACTATGAAGTTTACTGTGCGCAGAAGAAACAATGTGAAAGGAGAGGCAGCACAGCTGTGAAGAATAATTAGTGACCAAGTTTTCACATTTTGCACTTCTCACCCTCTGCTTTGTCTTGATGAAACTTTAATCAGCTTCTCTCTTTCCTGCAGCCCCCAGAAATCTGCTTCCCCTCAAGGCTGAACAAGAACAAAAAAAGTGGAACGTTTCCCCCTCCCTCCCACCATTCCCCATCAGCTTCCCCTGGGAATTTGCTGATGACAAGAAGACTCTTGCTGTCAGAACTCATTGGTCATTTCCTCTTCTTTCTCCAGCTTCCTGTCCAAATATTCTGATTTTCTCTGCCTGCCTCCTACTTTACCCTTTAAAAGAAAACCCTTGTCTGTGTGATTGTGACAAGCTCACAGAGTCCATCCTCCCTATTGCAATAGTCTTTCTAACTCAAGTCTTTCCTTATCCTACTCACTTGGTTTTATGTGACATAAGTACAGAAATTTGCCTCATAAGATTTACAAGATCAACAAACCTATGGAATTTTAAAAAGTGTGACATGTTTCAGAAAGAGAAACAGAATAAAGAACGCACCAAATATAGCAATTTAGTGTTCAAAAGAAATGGAATCTCAAATCAACGTGTGAAAAGTGTCATGTGAAATCAGTGTAGAAACAATATTCTCCCCAATAAATGGTGTCAGAACAGCAGGATATTCATTTAGGTAAAATTATCTACTAAACAAATTCCATGTACATTAAAACCTACCAAAATGATCACAATATTAGAAAATGAAGGGCAATATTCTAGACAAGAACTAACTCAAAAATCCATACAGTAAATAATGGAAAAACTGGATCAGAAGAAGATGAAAAGTTTATGGTGACACCACCCTCAATTTCATCATTATTCCAATTGTCATAGGGATAAGATTTACCCCATTTATATCAGTGTGAGAACGGACATGCGGTATCATTAGTGAGACTGTTGTTCCAAGACACTCCTGTCCTCGTTGGTCGGACACTGTGCAGTGAATAGGGTGTGCATGTCATCCTGGACCCAGTGCCCAGTGTTCGACTCTCTGACTGGTGGCATCCTTAGCACCTGCCCTCCCTGACAGTACGGTTACTGCTTCCAGGCCCTGGGGGCAGCTGAGCTAGGACAGTCCATGAGCAGTCGGATTCCAGTGTGGAGGGACAGCTGGATTCACATCTGGTTGGTGATGCGCATGCTCTGCAGGTTCCTGGGGCTCCTGTAAGGGCAGGAGAAGGGCTTTGTCAAGAGAAAACATCTAGGATTTGTAACTGCAGCTTAATATGAAAATGCACATTTGAAAGGAGTAACCTGGACTTATTTTCTGTGTGGAAACCCTAATTGGTGATTTGGGGTTGTGGTTCTTTATTCTTTTAACCCACTGAAAATGGACCATCCTCCAGGGAAATTTTTGAATCTCCAAACAAGAAAGTTCCAGCATTCTCTGATGGATCAGAGGAAGCTTAGAGACCTAAAGTTGTTGACTCCATTGCTTCCAATTTAGCAGCCGCTCAAATTCAGTTGAATATTTTCTCTTCTCCCGTTATCCTTCCCCAGAAATAAAGCAGGTGACAGTGTTTTCAGGAAGAATACTTTATGTGACAAAAGACACCATAATAAGAGTTTGGAGACATGTGGTACAATAAAAAGTTTTGCTTTATTTAGCAAAAGATATCTAGATACAGATACGTGCGACACATAAACACACCCACGCACGTATTGTTAACTCCTTAAATAATAAGAATGAAGGAATACGATAGAAAGTGTGTCAAAGATATGAGCAGGTAACTCACAGAGAGAATCTTGAAAATGCAAAAATATGCAAAAATTCGTTGAAATTTACTCTAGTAAATGAGAAAAGCACAGATTGAAATGATAATAAGATAAATTTTTTGCCCTTCAAATTGGGGAAAATGAAAACATTTGATAATGTATAATTTCAAGATTCCAAGACATCTGTGATCCCTAAGCGTCCTAATGGAATCTTAGAATTGTAGAGTTGAGAGGTACCGTGCAGTTCACCTGGTCTGGCCTCGTCATCCTAAGGATGGAGGCACCTGTGATGCTCAGAGAGGTTGGCTTATATTCTTGAAGTCTTTGACTTTCTCCATCCACAAATACATAAGGAACACACCTTCTTGACATTTTAAAGTCCCTGCTTCTCTCTTCTTTTATTAATTTCCTTCTAAATGAGATAAATGATTGACTGGAACATGCAAGTCACTTAAGCCGTGGGTCAACAAATTTTTTCATGTTAAAAATGAAATTCAAAAAAGTATGAATGTGGGAAATTGATCCACTTCTATAGCACCTGGGTAATTTGATAGATCCTACTAGATAGAAGTTTGGCAGAACTTATTACAATGTAAAACATACATGCTCTTCAACCAAGTACCTGAACCACTTGATGAATCTCTTAAGGAAATTTACAAATGATCTCCCTGTGATATTTCTGAGACGTTCACTGCAGAATTATTGTAACAATGAGAAACAAGAGCCCATCTAAATGTGCATCAAACAAGGAATGGAAGATATAATTTATTCATATTGTGTAATCTAAATATATGCAACAGCAGCCACAAGGATAGATGTGAATCTGTATGTACGTCATGCGAAAACTCACCAAAAAGTACTGTTGCCTGAAGGACAAGTTGAGAACAATTGATGGTATGAAAAAGTTTATGTTAAAACACAACTACAACTATAGTAAATATAAACATTTTATACATAAAACAACCATAAGAAGACTCTGAAAGGTGCAGAGAAGGCAGATAGCACAGGGACTCTGAGACCCAAGTAAATGTAGTGTTGATTCTGTGGGTTTTCTTCCTGCCTCATACATCCCTGACTTTGAACGAAGCGGGTGCAACCCAGCAATACCAATGGGTGCAGATAAAAGAAGTGCCCGCGAGAGAAGCCTGCTCCCCCTTTAACCAAAAGACCGAGAAAGGGGTGGCCAACACAACAGAGAGTACGTCAATAGTAACTGCCCACTCCAACCAAACACCACAGAAAACACCGTGTCTTCCCCTCAACAGCAGAGGTCAGTTGCGAAGCCCAGCCCTCCACTCCCGCCGTCTGTAAGGAAGCACTCCTCCCACCCCAGCAGCTGCAGCAGAGAAGGAGCTGAGACGATCATCACGCCCATTGAAAAGAGCCCCTGTCTCTGGAGTCAGTGGAGGCATGTGGGGAGGTTTCTCCACAGCCCAGTCAGGTGGTGTCAACAGAGGCCTGGTTCTGAGCGAGACCCTCCAACCCCACCCAGCCGTAACAAGGTATCCCTCCCCCATGGGAGTGTCAGTGGAGCCCAAGTGGGAAATCTGGATCCCACCCTCATGGGTCAGAAACAAGATGGCAGCCCTTTCCCCACTGCAATGATGTCGGAGGAGTCTGCCAAAACTGAAGACTTTAGTAACATAATACCTTAAGTTTATGAGTCTATGAGTTTGAAAACACAATACCTTACATATACAGGGTACAATGAAAGAGTCATTGTCCTCCCAAGAACCAGGAAAATCTCAGTTTGATATGAGACACGTGTTAGAATGATCTGACAGGTATTTTAAAGCCCCCATCAGAAAAAATGTTCCAATGCTCAATCACAAACAAAGTTCTCTGAAACAAATGAAAAACCAGAAAGTCTTGGCAAAGAAACAGAAAACCTTGACAAAGAAACATCTGATATAAAGAAGACCTAAATGGAAATATTAGACCTCAAAAATGCAATAACTGAAATGAGAAATCTACTAAACAGGCTCAATAGCAGAATGGAGACAAAAGAGGGGGATAAATCAGTGAACTTGAAGACAGAACAATTTAAATTATCCAGTCAGAGCAAAGAAGACTAAATAGACTATACAAAAAAAAAAAAAAAAAAAAAAAAGAGCAGGGTCTCAGGGACCTGCAGGACTATAACAGAAATCTAATATTTGTGTCCTTGAATTCCAGAGGGAGATTAAAAACAAGTGTGCACCTGAAAAGTTATTCAGGAAAAGTGCCTTAAAACTTCCGAAATTTGCCAGAAGACAAAATGCAATAGATTCGAGAAGCTGAGGCTACTCCAAGCCGGGTAAACTCAAATCTAGGCCAAGATACAGCACAATGACACTTTTGAAACTAAAGACAAAGAACGAACCCTGAAACAGTGAGAATAAGGAGGCCTGATCTATAAGGGATAACAACTGGAATCACTGCTGACTGGTCATCAGAGACCACGGGGGCCAGACCAAGGCACACACTCTGCAAGTGTTGAGACAAAAGAGTTGTCATCCTAGAATTCTAATACAGAAAAAGTATCCTCAGGAATGAAGGGAAAATGAAGACATCTTTTTTTTAATTAAATTTACTTTTCCCCCAAATATTAAGTAAATGTGATGTAATGGACACAATTGTGTCCCCCTAAAATTCATATGTTGAAGCCTGACCCCCGCATAAGGACATGTGGAGATGGGCCTTTTGGAATAATTAAGGTGAAATGAGGTCATAAGGGTGGGGCCCTAGTCCCACAGGATTGATGTCTTTTTTTTCCTGGGAAAGATTCGCCCTGAGCTAACATCTGTTGCCAACCTTCCTTTTTTTTCCCACCCGAAAGCCCCAGGGCACAGTTGCATATCCTGGTTGTCAGTTGTTCTGGTTCCTCTACATGAGCCACCATCCCAGCATGGCCCCCGACAGACGGGTGGTGTGGTTCTGCCGCAGATGTGGTGAGTGCCGAATTTAACCACTAGGCCATCAGGGCTGCTCAGGCCTGATGTCTTTAAAGGAGAGGAAGAGACAGCAGAGATCTCTCTCTTCTGTTCCACACGCAGAGGAAAGGCCACATGAGGACAAAGCGAGAAGGCCTCCATCTGGAAGCCAGGAGAGAGACCCACCAGAAACCAGCCCCGCCAGCACCTTCATCTTAGACACCCAGCCTCCAGAACTGTGAGAAAGTAAATTTCTGTTGTTGAAGCCACCCATTCCACGCTATTTTGTTGTGGCAGCTCTAGCAGACTAACACACATGGACGTGTGGAAAACACAGAAAATGTAAAAGCTGAAAGCAAAGAAAATCACCATAATCCCACCACATAGACTATTGGAAGATTTGGGGAGTGTGTTTTTGTCCTCTTCTAAAACGTACCACGAATATTTTCCTTTATCAATAAATATGAATCGGGGACCATTTTGACATTGTTGAAGAGTGAGACAACTTGGTTTTAGACCTGCCGGGGTCTGGGATGTTGGGCAGGATGAGGGGGACCTCTGTGGTGCTGGAATATTACACCTCGTGACTGCAGGACGGTTATGGGCACGCGCACTTGGGATAAAGTGACACCCACCTGTACACACGCGTTGTCCCAGTGTCAGGTGCTCAGTTTAGACCTTGGACGATCATCCCATAAAAATGTAAGCTTTGACAGAAACTGGGTGAAGGGTACACAGGACAGCTTGGTATCGTTTTTGCAACTGCCTGTGAACCTATATTTATTTCACAATAAGAACTTTGAGAAATCTGTTAATAGATAATAAATAGACATGTCTTTTCATACTGAACCGAGATCCTTGTAGGGGCAAAGAGATCAGTAGAATCATTCTTCATGTTTGGGAAGCCTTTTAAACACAGTATCACATCTTCTATCAAAAAGATATGAATATCAGCCTCAGGCAGGGTTTGAGTGAAAATATTAGTGATGTTGCACAAATACTTAAAAGCAGAACTATGAGGTTCAGAGAAGTTAATCATGGGGCAGATCAGGGGAAGAAAGCATTGACATAAGAGATTTCCTAAGTCAGCTCATGAAGACGGAAGTCATACTAAAAACAGGAAGACTTTGTCACACACAGACCAAGATCCCACATCCTCCGTGGCTGAGCTTGCTGGACTCTGCACCATGAGAAACAGATTTCTAAGGTTGCCGCCAGGTAGGAAGAATTATAACAACGATGAGAGAAGAAAATAAGCTACCTGGGAAGTGTCTTTACAGTTTGAGAATGTTCTCTGTTCTTTGCCCGATTTCTGGCTCGTTTTCCCACCATCTCTGTAAGGAAGAGCAGGGAAGAAGTTTTAAGAAGGATATTAGCTCAGTTCTGTTCAGTCCTCAAAGGAGAAAGTCAGTGAAACTCATTGCGAGGGCAAAGGTGAGGACTAAGGGATTTACCACCCATATTAGTTCAGGTTCTCCCGAGAAACAGAACCAACAGGATGTATCTCTCTCTCTGTCTCTGTGTCTCTCTCCGTCTCTGTCAGTCTGTCTGTCTACCTACCTATCTAGATTTACTTTAAGGACTTGGGTCATGAGATTGAGGAGGTTGGAAAGTCCAAAACCTGCTGGCAGGCTGGAAACCCAGGGAAGACTCGATGTTGCATCTCAAGTCTGAAGCCAGTCTGGAAGCAGAATTCCCTCTCCCTCAGAGGGGGTCAGTCTTTTTTCTCTTAACTTCTTCATCTTATTGAGTGAGGCCCACTCAGATTGTGGAGGGTAATCTACCTGCCCAACGTCTACTGGTGTAAATGTTACTAGGATCTAAAAATACCTTCACAGCACCGTCTAGACTGGTGTTTGATCAAATATCTGGGTGCTGCGGCCTGGGCAAAGGGATGCATAAGATTAAACATCATGCCACCTATACCACTGGTTTTCAGAAGAGTAGACAACCAAACTCTCAGAAAATTCTAATATTTAAGAAAAACAAAGCCCTTAAGTCTATCAGTTTTGTGTGGGTCGTGGAATGATCAGAGTTCAACGAGAGTGAATTAGTGAAAACTGATATCTGTGAGGTCAGCTTACTTCTGATTAGCCTCTATTTCCCTCAACGTTTAGGATAATACCTGTCACCTTTTGGGTTAGATGTTACCTACATGTTGTCCTCATTGGTTGTAATTAGTTGCCTGGTTTTTATGAAAATAGCTGTATTTCTTACCATTTGCTTTCTGGAACATGATTGTTTTTAAAAATCTGCACGTATTTGGCAGGGTCCAATGTGCAAAATACTGTGGGGCTTTGAAAGAAATGGAGAGCAAAGTTAGCTTCTCCCAGATGTGCACATTTTTAGGTGTGCGTGTATAACATCTCAGTAGACTATTGACCTTACACACGCATGGGACATTAGGATCATTTGTGCCTGCTCTGGGTGCCACACTCCAGGAACAGGAGCACGGTTGACAGGCATCTGAGGCATGGGTCACCTGCACAGCTTTCCCGAGGCGCAGCTCCGGGCTGGATGTGGACTCGGGCAGTCTGGCCCTGGAGCCTGGCTCTCCTCAGCACCAGACGGAGCCACAAGAGAAAAGGACATTTCGTGGGCAAGGAGGGCAGAGTAGAAGTCTAGGAATCTGACCTCTGAGAGAACCAAACTGAGCGTGTGATTCCGCCTGACCCTGGAGTCTGACCCATGCAGCTGTGTCTCAGGGAACAGGAAGGTAGTAGAGGAGCAGGAGGGAGCTGCTCTTCCTTTCCTTCTTTTGCTTTTTCCTTCCCTTTAGCTGACGTGTGTTGTCTGTTTGCTCTGTGTCAGGCACTGCCCTAACCCGTTGTTAGTGTTCTCTAATCCACGGTCAGAATAAAGCTCACCCTATCACAGTTACCGTTGCACCCACTTTGCACTGGGGCAAGTGTGGGCAAAGGATGGGCAGCGTTCCTGAAGCCGTGCAGTCACCAGGGGGAAGTCTGGGCTGCAGACGTGAGCGTGTCCATCCCCAAACCCATCGTCGTCCAGGGTCCTCCGCCACCTTGCACAGGGAGAACTGGCAGTGCAGCGTTAAGGGAAATTCATCTTTGCTTCTAGCCGAAAAGAAAAATCCCGTAAAGGCATGCAGATTTGAAAAGATTTTCAGCTCACGTGGATGTGACGACCGACCCTGTGAGGCAGACTGGTTGTTGCCTGTACAGCAGATTCCATTCCTTAGCACCCATAGTGGCTTTGACCCCACAACGCCTGCTCAGTGACTCATTTCTCAGGACTGGCCTGGGAGCCAAGGGGGAAGGCTGTGCCCTCAGTGCACTAGAGGACTCCAGGAGCTCATTGGAGGAACCAGGAAGCCATGGCTGCTGTCCCTGGAGAGTCCACTCACCAGAGAGAGTCGCTCTCCCTCCAGCTTCCTTAGTTCTCACTCCTCACCTGTCGTCACCGCCCCCTCCTGATTCCAGGGCTCCGTGCCCTGCTGGTATGTCTGTGGCTGTGGCTGTCAGTGACCGAGTCCTCGGGGAGTCCTGGTGGATGGAGGGAGAGGCTGAGTCCTCGATTCCTGTGAAGGACAGGAGCCTTGGGGATGCTGCCGGAAAGCCGTGCGCTACAGGCCAGAGCCACCTCCACGGGAGGTGGTGGTCATGCGGACAGGGGCTGAAATTGGAGCTTAACTCTCTTGTCTTTGTCATTTCTCTGTCTGCTCCAGGATTCTTGGTGCTGCTGCTGTTGTCATTGGGACTTGCAGCCCAGAACCTTAGAGGTGAGTCTGCCCAGCCAGTCCCATTAGTGACATAAGCTGGGGCGTCCATGCTGGGGTCTAGGTCCTGTCACCCACAAGGTGGGGAAAGGAGCCTTATTCTGCAAGCGAGGCTCAGAGATGGCCCTCTGGGGACAAGAGACGCTCATTCTTCTCCCCTAGATGTCCAGAGTTTTCTGAGCTCTTCTTCTTCTGATGGGGTCGTCCCATTCTGCCCTACTCTCCTCTACTCTTGGAACCCTAGCTGGCAGCTGACTTTCTCTGTTCCATGGACTTTCTGAACGTGGTCCTTGTCCCACAGCCTCTGCCTCCACAGCCTCTGCCCCTCCAGGCTGTGCTCCCTGGTGCCCTCGGAACTCCGTATGTGTCAGTGCCACCGCCTGTCGCTGCCATCCGGGATTCAGCTCCTGGTCTGGGGAGATCATCACCAGCCCTGCAGACAGTTGTGCCGGTACAGTAGTGTCTTGGGGTGGTGAGGACACTTGGGGATGTTGGGGGAGACTGTGGGGCATCCAGAGTCCTCAGCCCTGAGAGCAGCACAGAAGCACGTTGTCAGGGATGAGAGAGGAGACAGGCAGGGGAAGTGTGAGGGACGTGGGCACCTGCTTTCACGGTCAGTAGGGAGAGTGTCGCGAGCTCACACAGGGCAGCTGGGCTCCAAGGGCTCCGAGTGCTGCTCTGCCCCTGACTGGCTCTCCGACATTTGGGAAATTAGCTCTCCTCTCAGTTTGCTTGTCTGTGAGTTGGGGATAATCACTGCACCTGCCCCAGGTGGATGGTGTGAGATTTAACATTTCTCTGTGGGAAGAACAGGGAAAGACTAGTACACAGCGAATTCTCAACAAATGACAGCTATCATCATTGCTACTGATGTTATCATTGTGCTTATTCTAATAATACAAAGAAAGGGGAGAAATAATGGAAGCAGCAGGAGGAAAGACACAGCCCGGGCCGGGGAGCTCAGGCCTTCCTACCAGCCAGAGCTCGCCAGGAACCCAGCTCACGACCACTGTCTCCCACCTCCTGCTCACAGCAGCCCCGTGAGGCAGGCAGAGCTTGGCTTGTGGTTTAAATGATCAGATTTGGTGGAAAGAGATCGAGTGACTTTTCCAAAGTCCTACAACTAATCATGTGGTCGAATCGAATTCCAGGTGTAAAACAAAGCAGTTTTCCTTCTTCAACAATACAGGGTTATAAAAGAACATTGTTCTATTTAAAAATAGTTCAGATGGTAAATTTTGTGTTGCGCATTTTACCATGATTTTTAAAATTGGGAAAAGAAGAAAATTATACTGTTTTACACTAGGAAATACTCCTCATTGACTCAAAATCGTCTTGGATGTGTATTTATTGATATTGATGGTAAAAGATTTCTTATATGTTTGAAAAAATGAGAGAAAATACCCTTAAAAGTTTCACTAGTCTGTGGAGTGGATTATGTATAATTTTCTTTGCTTCCTAGTATACGTGTGTTATTTAATATTTGGGGGAAAGTAAGTTTTGTCAGGTGGAAAAAGCCGATGTTGCTGTGACAATGGCCCAGCCATCCACGACCCTGGCGGTGTTCCTAAAGGCTCCTCTGTGTGTGCGTGTGTGTCTCATGGAGCTTTGTAGACAGGTGACCATGGACAGGAGACCCTGCTGCTAATGCCCCTGGATCCTGGCGCCTGTCTGGGAGGGCGCCTGTCAGGTGGAGATGTCCCATCCTCGTGTCTCCCCGCCATCCCTTGCACCTCATTCTCAGTGGTCCCACACTTGACTTCACACCCTCCCGTCAACCTTGGGAAGAGATGTCCAGCCATTGCCGCCATCATAGAACAGAGGAGGGAAGCCCCGTTGCCAGGTGGGGGCTGAACACGAATCCCTCAGGCGTGTGTCCCTCCTGCGTCCTGTCCTGTCCTGGTGCTGACACCCGCAGCCTGGGTCTGGGCCTTAGAAGGGAAGTATGCAGGTGCAGAGAAGAGAGCTCCCATCTGGGGGAGACTAGCCATCTGCCTCACTCACCATGACACTGTGAGTCCTCTCAGGCACTGAAGTCTCTGGTCCCCTCCTTGGATGCACAAGGGCCGCCATCCTGCCCTGCATGTTGATTCATTTTTGTGTCTGTGGTACTTACTAAGCTGATGCTGTTTTCAGTTATACTGTGCAGCCCCTGCTCTGTGGGCCCTGAGCTGCTCAAAGGGGATGTGGCTCATGGGCATCTTTCCTCTCATGATGGGAGAACAAGGAGAGAGAAGATGCCAGAAGACACCCCGATGACTCAGCCCTGAGCGGCTTGTGCTGCTTCCTCATTTCACATCCACCACAGGCTCTGATAAGGAGAGACTTCCCTCAGGGGTGGAGACGGCAAGAGTCCCCTGGAGACATCCTGGGGCATCTTGGAAAGGCCTGACCTGGGGAGCTGGGGGAGTGCCTGATGGGGAGTGTGGGTGCACTTGGGCCACTGTGAGTAAAGGGGAACGGAAGCCAGCGCTGGGCAGGCTCCTGACCACCTGGCTTTATCCCCAGGTGTGAATGATGAGCGTGGCCGTGGACAGCCCCTACTATGGCTCCATCCCCTTCCTCGGCATCGAGAGTGGCCTTCAATGCCACTGTCACCCTGACTGGAATGTCCTCCCAGGTCCCTGATGGTGCTGAGAGCACCCCAGGGGAGGGTCCGGAGCTGAGTCAGTGCCTCCGTCCACCACTCCAGCTATGGAGAGGGGTGCACACCTCCTTCCAGCCCTTGTCATGGGACAGCAGAGTTTCTGAATCTAGGTGCCTTCAGGCCCAGCCAGAGAACAGAGATGAGCAGACAATTAGCAGAATTTCTGGAGCAGATGGCTCCAGCCCAGCCGTGTCCCAGGGGTGCCCCCCGGGAGCTGAGTTCTGTGCTGTCCCAGTGGCTGGGTCAGCCTGGGACCAGGGTCTCTGATCTCTGGGAACTCTCACCTTTGGGAGGTAACCCTTTGTCCTGTTGTGTTCCAGACATCAACGAATGTGGACCACCCTTGGCGGTGTCCTGCGGAAAATTCGCGGATTGCCAGAATGTGGATGGGAGCCACTACTGCACATGTAGCCCAGGATATGGGCTCGTTTCTGGGGCAACAACGTTCAGAAACGAGAGTGAGAACACGTGTCAAGGTAAGAACCACCCCACGCCTGCCATCCTCGCGTCTATGAGGTTTGGGGTCATTTGCGCCACTTTCTCCAGGTAACAGAGGGCCGTCCTGGCACTGACCTAGTCACTCGCCCTCTTTGAACCCCAAGGCTCAGAAACTTCCACAGAGGGACACTTCTGCAATTTTGGAATGTGGTCCTTGCCCTCCAGGCATCTTATTTTCATGAAACAAAAAAGAGGGTTGGCATTGAGAGACCTCACAGGCTCACAGTGTCTTGGTACCAGCACAATATCCATCCTCTTCAGTCACTGCCAGAAGCCCACAGGGGCTCGGCCACACCTGGAGCCCCCTCAGATCCCCCAGGCCATGATGGACCCAGGCGCCCCATCCAGAAACACGAGAGGGGGGAGATTCAAGGGCAGGTCCACATTCCCCGGCTGGTGCTGCCCCTGGCCAACATCCCCACCTGGTGAAGACGCCTCCTGGCACCTGACCCGACTGCTCTGCCTCTATCTAATTCTCTGAACAAGGGTCTGCCCGGACCCTCTCCAGTAATTTCAGCTCATGGGCCCGTGGGCAACGCGGATGACCGGGACCCGGGGGAAGCAGGGTCAGAGGTGGACAGCATGACATGGAAACCCCCCACACAAACCCAGAGAATCGGGTGAACAGAAGAGCTCCTGTCTGGACCAAATGGCAAGAGAGGACATTGTCATGGACCATCGCCTCAGGCTGACCCTCTCCCAAGGGGTCAAGCCCGGCCTCATGTCAACCTGGACCACTTGGGGCCAGAAGATGGAGGCTGAAACAACCCCACGGGACCCACAGTCTGCATCTCTTGGGGGAGACTGAGGACTGAGAACACAGAAACCTCCGCCACCCCTCGCCCATCAACACCTGCTCCCCTTCCAGCCACCAGCCCTCGCCCACCACTGGCCTTGATCCGATGTGAATCTCCCCACTTCTGTCAGTCCAGAGGATGTCTTCATGGGAATCAGGAAAAGGCACCTTCACAGCCCCAAGGCTTCCAGGCCGGCCGTCAGCCCCACTGTCCACCCAGCCTGGCGCCCGCTGTCTGTGTCGCCCTGGACTGTCCAGCACCATCTCCACTCTCCCTTCTGCTGCCGAATGCCTCCTTCTGCAGCGGCCTGGCTCAGGGGTGGCTCATGGTCCATTTCCACGGAGCTGGAGTCTCAGAGTGAGCATGGATGGAGAACACTGTCCTGCCAGGCTCACGGGGATTCCAAGGAGAGCTCAGCCAGAAGCACCCGCCCTGAGCAAAGGCCATCACTGGGTCCAGGATGGTGCTGCTCGGGGAACGCAGCATTTCCCTGCTCTCGATCCCAGGGAGGCCCACCTGGCCATTGACCACATCCTCAGACACAGGTGGCCTTGCTGTCCCCACCCTGTCTGGAAGCTGCCCAGGGAGGCTGAGAGAGTCAGAGCTGGGGACAGGGAGGACTCAGGCCACCTCCAGCCACTTCTGGACATCAGCGCATCCAGGCCACCACATCCACCCACAGGCCTCCACGTGAATGAGAAAGGGTGCCCACTCACCCGGGAACAGACAGTGGGGCCTTCCAGATGCTTCTCTGCCAGGAAATATGGCTGCCTCCCAGCCCCGAGGGCTGCCCACGGCTACAGGCCGCGTCACCTCTCCTTCCCCTTGCAGACGTGGACGAATGTCAGCAGAAACCCAGAATCTGTAAAGGCCGCAGTGTCTGCATCAACACCCTGGGCAGCTATACCTGCACGTGCCCGCCCGGCTTGGAGCTCAACCCAAAGGACCCGAATCTGTGCACAGGTAGAGCCCCGGGGAGACACCGAGGCTGGATGGACTGGGAAGGAGCCGAGGCGGGTCCTGCAGCCCGAGGAGGAGCCGATCCTCAGGCCCTATGAAGACACCCGCTGAGCCTGCCCAGGGCCCCGCCTCCCTGAAAGTCCCCCACAGAGCAGGGAGGTGGCCGGGCCTCTGAGCCTGGGTCCCCTATGGATCCCCCCTGCCCCTGAGAGCACCCCCAGATCTCGCCCCTTCCACATGTGTCACCTGGGAGCAGAGGGAGGTGCCAGTTCTGAGAATGAGAATCTGGGTCCAGGCCTAGGAGGAAGTGGGTAAGAGCCCTGATCGGGAAGTCCAGCTGCCATGACTAGTTTCCCTCTTTCCCTCAGTTTTCTCCTGAAAACTGGGGATGTTGTCCCTCCTGAGAGCATCCTGAAGAAGCTGACATAACGAGGCTTTTCAGGAACGTGGTGTCGTCAGTGCTGCCCGGGGAGATGGGGCGGGGCAGGGCCAGCCCTCTGGGCTCTGGTCCAATAAGGGCAGGGGTGCCGCCACCCACCCACCCGCGGCACGTGTGTAGCTATAGTGCCTTAGCCTCCCTGGCTGGAGCCCCTCGCAGCTCCCCCACAGTGCATCCCGCACCATGTGTGAAGGGACTCCATCTGTCGGGGTCAAACTTGCACACACATGGTTCTGCCCTGTCACCCTGCAGGGGCCTCTGGGCTTCTGGTGTGTTTAGTGGAAAACGCTGCCACACGGTTGTGTCCCGACAGGGTGGGTGGCTGGAAAGCGGGGCGTGGGGGTGTCTTCAATGTGAGGTGCTAAGGAATTTGAGAGCCGGGGCAGTGAGGGGGGTGCAGTGAGTGGAGGGCAGGGCCTGACCCTCTGGCTTTGTCCTGAGATGTGAACGAATGTGCCTCGGGGCACAATCCCTGCCACAGCTCCACCCACTGTCTCAACATCGTGGGCGGCTACAAGTGCCACTGCTACCCTGGCTGGAAGCCGGTTCCTGGGTCCCCCGAAGGCCCAGACAGCACCATCTGTGCAGGTCGAGAGCCCGGCGGCTGCACTCCTGGGGACCCCCACTCAGAACAGCTGCTCACATACTCGATGGCTCCCACGCAGACCCAGCAGCATGAAGGCTGAGGGCGGCTGCTGGGCCAGGCGCTAAGCCTTTAGAGACCAAATGGGAAAAGATCTGGGGGTCCTGGGGAAGGAGCTGGGGTACCACGGGGAAGGGTCACGGGACCCCAGGCAGCAGCTGATTACTAACTGGGATGAAGGTTCCCACTATTTCACAACCTGCACATCCGTCTGGCTCACCTGTTGTGTCACCTCTGCACTCCCCATGACCTCTGGTCACCACTTGGGTGTGCCCTCACCTGGTGGCATCACCTCCAGCCCAGGGGGTGAGGGGACGCAAATAGAGAGAAGGGGGTGGGGCGTGGAGGGGAGAGGGGCCTCCTCCAGGCTGTGGCCTGGCCTTACCCCGTCTTCCTGTCCCCAGATGTCGACGAGTGCAGCTCCGGGCGGCACCCATGTCACAGCTCCACCATCTGCGTCAACACCGTGGGCTCATATAGGTGCCACTGCCACCCAGGGTGGACACCCCTGCCGGGGCTCCGGGACAACCAAAACACCACCGTGTGCGAAGGTACCTGATCTCACACGACCCCAGACTCCACCCTAACAAACAGAGACCCTCTCAGCCCTAATGAACCCCTGTCTGTCCCCTGCAGAGGTGTCCTTCCCCATCTGGACTCCGCCCCCAGGAATCCAGAGCCAGGTGAGTGGCTCCAGCAGGGACCGGGAGGCAGGAATCTCCCTGTGCAGCCCGCTCTGTCCGCCTGTTTTCCCTAAGCTTCTCACCCACTCTCGAGGCTTCCTGACACCCTCTGCTCCCCTCCCCCCAGCATCTCTCCCACTTCTTTGAAAGAATCCGGGATCTGCGCAGACGCTTCCAGTCAGCCTCGGCCCAGGACACCTTCAAGGTAGGGGCAGGACCCACAGGAGACAAGGTGGAGTCACCCCTTCCCCATAGAGGCCTGGGAAAGCTTTGGTTCGGGAGGAGCCGGACCCCACCATGGTGGTGCCCTGCTCTGAGGCCCCGGTCCTCCCGAGTGTGTGGCGACAGCCCCCAGCGTGTGTCTGTACTCACTGTGAGACGCCCACGTGCAGCTATTGACACCTTCCCTCTTGCTTTCCTGGACTTTGGGTTGACGTCACCCTTGGCATTCACCAACAGGATGACCTCTGAGTGGCTGGATTCTGGGAAAAAAGACACAGGGAATCCCATCCGGTGCCACGTTTATTCCCAAATAGTCTCTAGGGTCTGTTCTTTGAGCTAAGTGGGCAGGGTCTTCATGCAGACCCTCTGCTCATGGCCCACTGGCTCTGTCCCCATCCTCCAGGGTCTCATACACGCGGTGGATCATCTGCTGGAGACCCCAGGGGACCTGGAGACCCTGCCCCGCTCAGAGCAGCACTGTGTGGCCGCTAACCTGCTCTTTGGCCTGGAGGATGTCCTGAGAGGGCTGAGCCAGGCCCTGTCCAATGGGTCGTTGACCTTCAATTCACCTGCAGGCACAGGCAAGTACCCGAGTCTGCCCCCGGATCCTGCTCTGCCCGTCCTCCGCGTCGTTCCTCCCCTACCTCACTGGAGCCAGTGACCATGCTTGCATCTCACTGTTACTCATAAACAAATTAGAATGAAAGGTTAAAAGAAATGAAGAAAAACTATAAATAATAGGCATTTTCATCATAATATACATTACCAGAAGAGGATGATTTGAAGTTAATTTAATGAATTTCACATAAAATGGGAATGGCTTCAAAAGAAAACATTATTAAATGTGGACAATATTAATTTAATATTATTTGATATTGAAGTATGATTTGTTTTATTGAGGTTAAATTCACATAAAATAAAATTCACCATTTGTACCAAAGTGTAAAATTCAGTGGCATTTGGTACATTCATGGAGTTGTACAGCCATCACCTCTATTTCTGAAATATCTTCATCGCCCCGGAAGTAAACCCTGCAGCCACTAAGCAGTCGCTCCTCATTCCTCCCTCCCCCAGCCCCCAGCAACCACGAATCTGTTTTCCGTCCCTGTGGATTAGCCTATCGTGGACATTTCATGCACATAGAATCCTACAACATGTGACCTTTTAGTCTAGCTTCTTTCACCCAGCATAGTGTTTTTGAGGTTCATCCATGTATTAGCATGTGTCAGTAATTCTTTGCTTTTTATGGTTGAATAATATTCCCATATAAGTATATACCTCTCTGTTTATCCATTCATCCATCGATGGACAGTTGGGTTGATCCACCTTTTGACCATTGTAAGTGGTGTTACTCTGAATACTGGTGTACAAGTTTTTGTTTGAATACCAGTTTTCAGTTCTTTGGGGTACATACTTAGGAGTGGAATTGCTGAGTGATATAGAAATTCCATGCTCAACATTTGGGGAACCACCAAATTATTTTTCCAAGATGGCTGCACCACTTTCTGTTCCCACCAGTGAAGTACAAGGGTTCCAATCTCCTCATCCTCAGAGACATTTGTTACCTCCATTTTGTTTTTTCATCACTGGCTTTTAGTGTCTGTGAGGTGATTTGTCATTCTGGATATGATTTGCATTTTCCTGACGACTTACCACATTTACCATCTTTTCATGCATTGGTTGAATATTTGTGTCTGTTTTTTGGTGAAATGTTACTGAAGTCCTTTGCCCATTTTTAAATTTGGTTGTTTGGCTTTTGGTTGTTGAGTTGTAAGAGTTCTCTGTGTATTCTGAAGGTAGACCCTATGTGATTTCAAATGTTCTCCCATCCCATAGGTTGTGTTTTCACTTTCTTCAAGTTCTTTTCCTGTCAATGAACAGATGCTTCAATTTTGATGAAGTCCATTTTATCTGTTTTTTCTCTTGTTGCTTGTGCATTTGGTGTCCTATCTAAGAGTCCATTCCAAATTCAAAGTCATGGAGATTTACCTCTATATTTTATCCTCACTGTTCTGATATTAGCGCTGAAATTTAGGTCTCTGGTCCATTTTGAATTAATTTTTGTGTATTGTGTGAGGTAGGTGTCCAGCTCCCTTCTTTGCTTGTGGATATCTGGATGTCCCAGCATCGTTTGTGGAAGAGACTATTTGTTCTCCATTGAAGGGTCTCGGCATTCCTTGTTGAAAATCAACTAACCGTAGATATATGGGCTGATCTCTGGACTCGCAATTCTATTTTGTTGTCCTATCTGTCTATTCTCATGCCAGCACCATAGCGTGTTGATTACCGTAGGTTAATACTAAGTTTGAAATCAGAAGGTGTGAGTGCTCCAAATTTGTTTTTCATTTTCAAGATTGTTTTGGGTCTTTGGGCCTCTTGCAATGCCATATGAATTTTAGGATTAGCGTTTCCATTTCTACAAAAAATAATAAATGTTGTTGCATATTGATTGTATTGCACTGAATTTGTGGGTCATTTTGGGGAGTATTGCCATCTTAACAATATTAAGTTCCAAATCATGAACAAAGGATGTCTTTCCATTTATTTAGGGTTTTTAATTTCTTTCACCAATGTTTTAGAGTCTTCTGTGTATGTATCTTGAGTCTCTTTGGATAAATTATTCCTAATATTCACTGAAGATGTTTTCATCTGTGTCCATAAGAGGTGTGTCCGTAGTTTTCTTTTATTGCGACGTCTTTCCCTGGGTTTGTTTTCAGGGTCGTGGTGGCCTTCTAGGGTTATTTAGGTAGTGTTCCTTCCTCTTCTATTTTATAGAGGAGTTTACAAAGGATTCCTGTTAATTCTTCCTTGAATGGTGGGTAGAATTCACCAGTGAAGCTGTCTGGTCTGATCTTTTCATTTTGGGAATTTTTTTGATTACTGATTAAATCTCTTTACGTCTTTATATGGCTGTTCATACTTTTTTATTCTTCAGTCACTTTTGTAGTTTATGTCTCTAGGAATTTGTCCATTTCATCCAGGTTGCCTAATTCATTATTGAATAATTACTCATAGTTTTTGTTATAATCCTATGTAAATTCAGATGATATACCTATATAACCATTATTATTTTTACTAAATATTAGATGCAATATTATAATGTATATAAAATAATGGTTTTGTTTGGTACAAAAATAATAGCATTACACGTAATATTGGCATATACATACATATATGTATGAAATAATGGTATTGTATCAACCACTGCAGGCACAATTACTAATCTAAGTCCCTATGTGCCTCGCATGACTCTCAGAGCTGACCCTGGAGGTGCTGGAGCAGGGAGACAGGAGTATCTCCTTGAGTCAGAATCGGGCAAAGATGCTGCTGAACTGGGAGACGGTGCAGGGATCTGCTGACTCAGGTAAAGGCTGAGATGGGGAGAAGGCCACTGAGGCTTCACAGTGGGACAAGTGTCCAGGGATGGGACAAATAGAGGATTAAATGTTAAAGGGAAGTGTCGGGTACGGAGAAGCCAGAAGGAGAAAGTCCCTCTGAAGAAGGAGGGGTCCTGTTGGGGACACCAAGATGTCAACCTTGCCCTCGTCCTGCAGGCCCTTCTGTGGTGGGCCTTGTCTCCACCCCAGGGATGGGAAAGCTGCTGGCTGAGGCGCCCCTGGTCCTGGACCCTGAGAGGCAGGAAGTTGTATGGGAGACACACAAGGACTTGCTGCAGGAAGTCACCCATGTCCTGCTCTCAGATGTCATCACTGCCTTTTTGAGCAACAGGGACACTCAGAACCTCAGCTCCCCAGTCACCTTCATCTTTAACCATGTGAGTCCAGGTGGGAGGGGGCTGTGGGTGGGGAAGAGGCCTGAGTCCTGGGCGCAGCCTTGGGGTTCAGGTGGGGTCCCCATGGGTGCATTATTTACCCAGGAAAGCCCTTTATGAGCCAGGTTCGGGTCAGCATTTCTGAGCACCAGAACTACGAGCTCACATTTACTCCCTGATCCTGCAGTCAGTGACCCCTCGGCCAAGGAAGAAGGTGCTCTGCGTCTTCTGGGAGCACAGCGGGAATGGAAGTGGTCATTGGGCCACCACAGGCTGCACGATGGTGGGCACCAGAGACACCAGCACCACCTGCCGGTGTACCCACCTCAGCAGCTTTGCCGTCCTCATGGTCCACTACAATTTGCAGGTGAGGGCCCTGAGAGGGGCTGCGTTCAAAGTCTATCACACTGTAACCAATTCCCACAGATGCAGCAGCTTAAAGACCCACAGATGTGTCACCCCCAGTCTCTGCAGCTCAGCAGTCCTGCATGGTGCAGCTGGGCTGTCTGTCGGCATCTTACAGGTCTTACGAGCCTCTCCTCTGAACTCTGAGGTCCTCCTCTAAGCCGCGTGGTTGTTGGCAGAATTCAGTTCCTTGCGGTCATAGGACTGAGGCCCCACTTTCTTGCTACCTGGCAGTGGGGGACCATGCTCAGCACCTGGGGGCTACCTGCATTCCTTCTCACGTGGTCCTCTCATAGGTTCTCTCATAAGGTGTCAGCATGCCTATCTGGAGGCCAAAGCTGAAGCTCCCTTGCATCAAAACTCTCTGACACTTTGAGTGTTTTTCTCCAGAAACAGCCTGAATCTTTCAGGGGCTCACCTGGTTAGACGAGGCCCACCCAGGATAAACTCCTTCTCTTCAAGTCAGTTGATGTAGGACCTGATGTGGGACCTCCATCTGCCATATCCCTTCACAGCAGCACTCGGATTGGCTTTTGACTGGAAATCTGGAAGAAGGGGTGTGTCACCTGGGGGCAGGGATATGGTCGCCAAATTAGACCTCTGCTCACCTCAGGGGTCTCTGGTGCAGCAGTGCTCAGGGGCTGCAGAAGGTCGACTTGGCAGAGGGCAGAGGGCACCAGGGGAGCCAGCGAGAACAGGTGGGTCAGGGGCCGTGTTGGCCTCCTCCCCTGACCGGGTGAGCTGGTGAGTTCCTCTAGGTCACCAAAACCAGAGACTCACTCAGGTGACCTCTAAAGGGAAAAAAGCCCTTGTGAGAGGCAGGGCTTCGTCCAGGCTCTGAATCAATCAGTTCACAATCCCATAGTGTCCTAACGTTCTGAACCTGTAGGTACTTAGTCAAACATCACAAGTTTACCTGGCTCCTCCATTCCTAATTTTTCTATGCCTAAAAATAAAGAAAAATGGTGGAAGGGCCATTACCCCAGAGCAGGAAGGGGTGACTCTGGTCTCCTCTTTGCTGGGTCCCAGGAGGAGGATCCCGTGCTGGATGTGATCACCCACGTGGGGCTGAGCCTCTCTCTGCTGTGCCTCCTCCTGGCGGCCCTCACCTTCCTGCTGTGCAGAGCCATCCAGAACACCAGCACCTCGCTCCACCTGCAGCTCTCACTCTGCCTCTTCCTGGCCCACCTCCTCTTCCTCACGGCCATCGACCGAACAGAGATCCAGGTACTGACCCTGTCACAGGGGACCCTCTGGCCTGCCCAAGGGGGTGCTGAGTCCATGGAGCCACGCTGCCCTGGATGCCTTAATGAAATGATCTTGGGTCCCAGGGAAGGTTAGGGGGTGAGTGACCAATGTCACATTGACTGATGCAACTAGACGACAAACCCTCTCTGACCGCTCCTTCATACGCATCAGACTTCTCCCCAATGGCAAGGCACGGGAGAGGTCCTGGGGCCACACTCCACCCCCACAGTCCCTCCTGGTGACACCTCATTCCTCCCCCAGATGCTGTGCGCCGTCATCGCAGGCGCCTTACACTATCTCTACCTGGCCTCCTTCACCTGGATGCTGCTGGAGGGGCTGCACCTCTTCCTCACTGCGCGCAAACTGACGGTGGTCAACTACTCCAGTGTGAGCAGGTTCATGAAGAAGCTCATGTTCCCTGTGGGCTATGGAGTCCCGGCCGTGATCGTGGCTGTTTCTGCAGCATCCAGGCCTCGTCTCTATGGAACATCAACCCGGTAAATGCACTTTCCCGTTTGTCCTTCTCTTCTCTAGCACAACCACGGCCATCATGGAACCAACACAACACTTTAATTTTACCAGGATATGATAGGCAGGGAAAAACTCAGTAACCACTCCAAAGACATTTCCTGGTTTCATGATTGCATTCATTGAAGTGACTGTTTTAATTCCTTAAGATTTAATCCTTTTAAATGCTAATTATATTATGTTAATAATTCTATATTTATGCAATACTTATGTTTTATATTAACTATACACTAATATAATATTGATGATATGTTAATAATTATGAATTAATATAGTTAAAATATACGATGTGACTCGTGTTGATGTTTTAGATTTTATTACATTAAATATTAATTTTATGTTATTTTAATGACTATATTATACTAATGGCTATCATATGTAATATTAATTGCATCTATATATTAGTGTATGTATATTAATATAATACCCATTGCATTAGTTTTGGAGACTGTTTTAAATCTTCTAGAAAGCGAAATTAAAGAGAAGGGGTGGCATTGATTTGTGTAATCCACTTCTCTCTCCTAATTAAAAAAAGGGAGATAATTTAGACAATGAAATCATTATGACAAGAGCTAAGATTTGTAAATCACTTCTGTAGAGCAGTCTTTGTTCTAAATATTTTTCATGTATATCAGATCAAATCATCCTCCGCACAACCTTCTGAGGTAGAAACAAGTAATATGCCGGTATTACAGATGACAAAACTGAGGCACAAAGAGATTAACTAACACGGCCGAGATCTCAGAGCTGGCTGGTGGCAGAGTTGGGATCAAATCCAGTGTCACTCACAACGCAGTCCTACACTGATAAAATCAATGTTCATCTGCATCGGACGAGCCCTGGCCAGCTAGCCTTCCTAGATAACAGGATAAAAGCGAACTCCATCTGTAAAGGGCCAGACGGTAAATACTTTTGGCTTGTGGGCCATCCCATCCCTGTTGCAAATACTCATCTCTGTCCTTGTAGCACAAAAGCAGCCACAGACGATACGTAAGGGAACGAGTGTGACTGTGTCCCAGTACAGCACATTCACAAGATCAGTTGGCAGCCCACCTGGCACAGGCTGCAGTCTCCTGCCCAGCCTCAGTAGCTTTCTCTTCCCTTCTCCCTGATGGAGCCACCTCTCCATGCTCCTCCCACCTCCCATCTCATTCACAATTCCCTTCACCTGGGATCAAATTCCAGTCCTGTCACTTGCATCAGTGTGGCCTTGAGTGACTGCCTCTGTTTCCTTAAGCCTCAGATGCCTGACCCGTCAGGAATAAAGGCATTATGCACGCGAGCCCCGCCTTAGTGCTGTGTCAGGCTTACTGTTACTTCTTCTTCTTTTTATTTTTTTTTGGCTCTCGTCTTTGGTGTCCCCAGTTTTTTCGCCTTGTCTCTACCTACTCAGCTTTCTTATCTCAGTGTAAACACAATTCATTTCTCTCAGGGAACCCTTCACAACTATCTGAATCTGCCACACCCCAGCCCAGGTGAAGGTTCCAGCTACACATGCTCATATTCCTCATACTATGATCATAAAACTCGTCATCTTGTTTGTTTCTCCTGCCTGACTGTTGACCTTCCACCTGGCTGGAGCTCCCAGAGGACTGAGAACAGTCTATCTTAGTCACGACTGGGGCTTCAGAGCCATGCACAGATCCTGGTAGAAAGGAGACACTCGATATTTGTCATCTAAACCATCAATTAATTGATTGGTTGATATTTTTACTTTTAAAAGTTTGTATTTTTTTCTGCCAGCCTTTTTGGGAGCCAAGACTTGAAAGAAGTTTTCAAAAGGAATTTATTTTTTAAAAAACCACTTTGTTAAGGTATGATAGACATGTAAATAGATGCACATATTTGACGTATAGCTCCTGATGCGTTTGGGGATGTGCATACGCCTGTGAAACCATCACCACCATCAAAAGTATATACAAAATTCAGTTATGCAAGATGAAAAGATCAGGAGACCTACTAAAGAGCACATGTGTATAGCTAATAATATTGTGCTGTACACTTAAAATTTACTAAGAGGGTATGTCTTACATTAAATGTTTTTACCAAAGAAAAGCAATAATAATAATAATATTAATTAAAAAAACAGACAGAGAAAGACAAACACTGCATGATTTCACTCATATGTGGAAGATAACAAATACATGGATAAAGAGAACAGACTAGCGGTTACCAGTGGGGAAGGGGGGTGGAGGTTGGGAGAAAGGGTAAAGGGGTGCATATGTGTGGTGATGGATAAACAGTAGACTACTGGTGGTGAGCATGATGCAGTGTATCCAGAAATTGATCAGTAATAATGTACACCCGAAATTACACAATGTTATCAACCATAATGATCTCAGTAAAATTACTTGAAATAATAATAATGATAATAATAAAGGAGGCAAGAGGGCTTGCCTTGTGGCATAGTGGTTGAGTGCAGCATGCTCCACTTCAGTGGCCCAAGTTTGCAGGTTCAGATCCTGGGCATGGACCTACACCACTTGTCAGCCATGCTGTAGCCGTGACTCACATATGAAAGAGAGGAAGATTGGCACAGATGTTAGGTCAGGGACAATCTTCCTCAGCAAAAATAATAGTAATTATAATAATAAAGGAAGCAGGAAGAAACTTTGGGAGGTGAGGGATATGTTTATTTACCAATTCTTTATCCACAAAGACCAATATATTGTTTTTTTTTCCTGAGGAAGATTCGCCCTGAGCTAACATCTGTCACCAATCTTCCCCTTTTTGCTTGAAGGATATTGGCCCTGAGCTAACATCTGTGCCAATCTTCCTCTATTTTATATGTCGTTGCCACCATAGCATGGCTGATGAGTGTGTAGGTCCGCACCCAGGAACTGAACCCAAGCAGCCGAAGCAGAGTGCACCAAATTTAACCACCAGAACACCAAGCTGCTCCCATCACAAAGACCAATATATTCTTGAATCTCTTTCTTAGATGCTGGCTCAACACAGACAAAGGGTTTATATGGGCCTTCCTTGGCCCCGTCTGCACCATCTTCTCTGTGAGTAATGGATCACATCAGAGCCTCCTACCTGCCCAGCTGAGGGCCATTCAAAGTCAGGTGTATAAGGAGGGTTACAGGCAGGGTGAGCAGTCATTCCAGTTTGCCCAGGACTGAAGGGGCTCCCATCAGATAGGAATTTCACTTTTAAAACCGGGACTGAAGTGTTTCCTGAGACATGAGATTTCAGGGCTAAAACCAGAAATTCCCCTGCAAACTGGGGCGAGTCGGTCAACCAAGTTACAAGACAATGATATACCTGTGTTACTGGGTGTTGGGTCTGGTTTTCTAGGACTGCTGTGAAATACAAATGCTCTTGCTGCTGGGTTAGGTGTTGGATGAGCTAGGAGGAAGGCTGAGCAGATGTGCAATGCATTTACTATGCCTTGTGGGGATATTCATCTGCAGATCAACTTGGCTTTCTTTCTGATGACCTTCTGGATTGTGAAAAACAAGCTCTCCTCACTCAACAGTGACGTGTCCACCCTCAAGAACACGAGGTGAGGGTGCAGCAGAGGCTGCACACCATCCCCCATACAAAGCATGGTCCAGGGGCAAGGTCATATGGTCCCAAGCTCCCGATGTCCTTCACCCAGATTCTGAGGGGACTGGAGGAGAGAGGTGCACCCAGCCGCCTTGGAAGCCAGCTCAGATACAGTACTTTGCTGCTGACACCCAAGCCAAAAGCCTTGTGTCCATCCGTAACCCCAGCATGAAGCACCTAAGCTACATAGAGAACTGACTTTGTTCTGATAAACGGGGATTACTTTCCTGGCTCAATGAAAAAGGGCCTAAGAACATTCATATCTTTATAACACGCTTAGGAAATCACACAGCTGTTCCCAGAGCCCAGCACGCCCTTTCCCGCCCACACCTCCATGCGTGCTCTTCCTGAAGCCCTCTCCCACTCTCCCACCAGCTAAAAGCAGGTTCATTTGCCACTTATTACATCTTCTAAAGGTTTGGGGATGTCCTTTGCTTTCCTCAACTTTGCACAGAATCAATGGCCTCTATTCTGAGCAAAGGAGGCTCTGGGTCAGTCCATGGAGAAGGTGAGGATGGGAACAGTGCTGGATGGACCTGGGCAGAAGTACCTTGCACTTCACAAATTTATAAATGACCATTTGTTTTTGTCCTTCCACTAGACTGTAAGGTCTGTGAAAACAGAAATCTTGTCTTTGTTGTTGTTAATTCCCAGGCCCACTCCCAGAGCTGGGTGCACAGTGACCTCAGCACTGTAGGTTGAGTGAAATTAGGGATCTTCATGAAACATCATGATATTTTGGAAATCCACATTATGCGATGTCACTACCATCTTAGTCTAATTCAAAATGCCATCCTGGACAAAGATAGCATTTCTTTTTGGGGAATCATGGCCAGTATGATCTAAGTTGATCACAACTCAGTCAGAGGCATCCATGGAGTAGAGATGAAAATGACCTTGGTTTTGCTGCTCTCTGTGCATCACAAGCCTCCTTTCTTCTCCTCTCCAGGATGCTGACGTTTAAAGCTACAGCTCAGCTCTTCATCTTGGGCTGCACGTGGTGTCTGGGAATCCTGCAGGTGGGACCAGCTGCCCGGGTCATGGCCTACCTCTTCACCATCATCAACAGCCTGCAGGGCGTCTTCATCTTCCTGGTGCACTGCCTCCTCAGCCAGCAGGTACCACTGTGTGACGCCCACTCAGGATTCTGCCCATCCTCTCTCCTCCCAGTGAGCTGACTCAGAGTCTGCTTTGCCTCTGCAGGTCCAGCAGCAATACAGGAAATGGTTCAAAGGGGTCACGAAAACCAAAGCCGAGTCTGAGAAGTACACGCTGTCCAGCAGGGCCGTGTCTGATGCCTCCAAACACAGTGTGGTAAGGGCACGCATTGCTCCCAGAGCACTTCACTAACAGATCTGCTTGAGCAGCACATGCCTACCACACCGGGCAACCTGGGTATATAGGAGGAGATGCCCTAGGATGGCTCACATGTGGTTTACTCCTGGACTCACTCAAGGCACTCCCCTGTCATGAAAGGAGCTCTTCCTCTGCTTTCACTCACTGTGTTTCTATGCTCACCTTGACCCTTGCACATGGCCATCTTATTCTCCACACGTGTGGAGCACCCACTTTGTGAGAGATGGTGCATGTGCTTTTTAATTTTCCTTGAGAAGAAGATAGAAAACACTTACTCACAAGCAGAGAAAGATGCTATAGTATGCTCTACGAGCAGGAACTAATGATCTGAAGCAGAGATGCACGAGCTGCTCAGAGTCACAGCACCATTCTTTCTCCCAAGTCATTCCAGGCTACCCCTATATCTGAAGGACAATAAACACATGGTATGTATGGTCATAAAAGGCAGGTGAAATCAGCATTAAGTTGGATCTGAGACTGTCCTTAGAAGTCTGCAATCGTTCCTGGTATTTTCAACACACACATACAATGCAAAACCAGGGAGGAGAATCACAGAATGCGTAGGAGAGATTCTAGCAAGGTGAATAGTACCAAGAATTGTATTTTCAGGTTTACAAACCATTTTCTTGTATTTTTTATTCCTGTGTTCTTCCCATTAGCACTTGGAAGTAAGTGTTATGCTCCCACTTGATGGGTGAAGAGAGTGAGACTCATGGGGTCTGGATGTGTCGTGCAGGGACTTTAGCTGCTTCGTTCTTCCTCCCAACTTCCATGAGCCCCCCACCTGGCAAGGCCTCTGCATTTCTCTCCTCCGCCTGCTTGTCCACCCTCTGCAGCTGCCCCTTCCCGAATACTCCACTCCTCAAAGGTCTCATCCTTCTAACTCTTCCCTCTTCCCAGCACATGTTCCTACCAACTTCTTCACAGGGAAAATCAACTCGGTGGATGAAACAGGGTTAACCTTGTGCTCTCAAAAACGCCAGGCATTTGACACCTGGTTCATTCTCTCCTCGTTCCACCTTATTCCCACAGATAGACAAAATCAGCTTCCAACTTTTAAAATCTAATCCTTCTGCCTGTATTTTTAAAAATTATTTTATTGAGGTCATATTGGCTTATAATGTGTAATTTTCAGGGGTACATTATTATATGTGAGTTTCTGTGTAGACCGCGGCATGTTCACCACCAATACCCTAGTTTTTATCCATTACCATACATATGTGTCCCTTTACCCCTTTTCCCCTCCCCCTACCCCCTTTCCCTCTGGTAACCACTAATGTGTTCTCTTTATCCATGGGTGGGTTTATCTTCCACATATGAGTGAAATCATACGATCTTTGTCTTTCTCTGCCTGAGTTATTTCACTTAGCATAATACGCTCAAGGTCAATCCATGTTGTCGCAAATGACACAGTTTTGTGTTTTTTATAGCTGCATGATATTCCCTCGTACTTATATATACACCACATTTTCTTTATCCATTCTTCCATGGATGGACACTTGGGTTGCTCCCACATCTTGGCTAATGTGAATAATCCTGAAATGAACATAGAGGTGTATAAATCTCTTTGAATTGTTTATGTTCTTTGGATAAACACGTAGTAGTGGGATCATATGGGTCATATGGTATTTCCATTTTTAATTTTTTGAGGAATCTCCATAGTATTTTCCATAGTGGCTGCACCGGTTTGCACTCCCACCAGCAGTGTATGAGGGTTCCCTTTTCTCCACATCTTCTCCAAAACTGGCTGTTTCTTATCTTGTTAACTATAGACATTCTGACAGGTGTGAGGGGATATCTCATTGTAGTTTTGATTTTTATTTCCCTAATAATTAGTGATGTGTCACATCTTTTTGTGTGAGTTTTCCTCCACCTGTATTTGGTTCCTGACATTCGACTTCTCAATAACTTTACATTATTGCTCATACATTCTCTCTCTGGTTCTTGCACAGTCTCCCCTTCTGAACAGCATCTTTTCCACCTTCATTGCAGCATGCTAAGTCGCTCTCGTTAAAAATATTAATGCTATATGTTTTACCCCTCCCTGTTCTTCTATACACTCAAGACTAGCTTTTGCCTCCTTCATTCCACCAAAAGAGCTCTCTCTTAAGCCCCCAATGGCCTTCATATCAAGGGGTGAAATAAATATCCTTTGGTCCTCTCAGCAGTATTGGATGCTGTGGTTAATGCCTCCGTCATGAAACTTCTCTCTGTCTCTGGCTTCTATGTCTCAACACTCCCTGGAGTTCTTCCTTGCTCTCTCGCTGAGCTTTATTCATCTTCTTTACATTTCATCTACCCTACCTGGCTTGGGTCTAGAAACACTTCTATTCTCATATTAACGTACCTCAGACAATCTTGTCCACAGGGACTCAATGAACCACGCAGGAAATGATGGTCAAATATATTTCTCTGACTCTGAATTACCTGTGAGCTCCAGACCACTAATCCCAATTGCCTACTCGAGACCTCCACTTAGATATCTCAGAAGTAGCTCAACATTGTCATAACAGAACTTATCGTGTTTTTCACCAGTTTAATCCTCTTCAGGATTTCTCATCTCTTTGGGTGACATCTCCAGCCATCTTGCTCTAGCCAGGACCTGGAACATCCTTCACATTATCCTCTTCTCTACCCTGTTCCACCCCAAACCAATCCATGGCTGAATCGTGCTAATATTTCCTCCTCAGTAGCTCACAAATCTGTCTTGTTGACACCGTGTCCATCACCTTGTCCCTAATTCCAGCTCCCATCTTCTCTTGGCCAGATTGCAGTATCCTCCTAACTCGTCTGCCCTCTACTCTTCTCCGTCTTCCTATTAGTTTTCCACATAAAATTCAGAATTATCCTCTCAAAACAAAAATTTGATCTTGTACCGCCTTGCATAAAAATCCCCCGAATGGTTCCCCATTGCCACTAGCAGCAAGACCAAAATACATGAGGTTCCAATTTCCTCCACATCCCCACCAAAACTTGTTATCATTTGTGTTTATACCTTGGTGGGTGTGAAGCAGTTTTTCATTATAGTTTTGATTTGCATTTCCCTAATGTCTAATGATGTTGAGCATCTTTCCAAGTGCTTATTATTCATTTGCATGTCTTCTTTGGGGAAATATCTATTCAAATCTTTTCCCTATTTTTAATTCAGTGATTTCTCTTTTATTGATAAACTGTAAGAATTCTAGGTGTGTTCTGGATACAAGTCCCTCGTCAGATATTTGATTTGCAGTTATTTTCTCTCATTCCGTGGGTTGACTTTTCACCCTCTTGATAGTGTCCATTGATGCACAAAAGCTTTTTATTTTGATCGAGTCCAATTTATCTATTTTTTATTCACTTGTGCTCTGGGTGTCAGCCCTAAAAAAGAATTGCCTAACCCAGGGTTCCAATGATTTACACGTATGTTTTCTTCCAAGACTTTTATGCTTTTAAAATTACATTTAGGTATCTGATCCATTTGGAATTAATTTTCTAAAATGCTGTGAGGTTGTTAACATGGCGTGACATCCACATGCTTTTGCATATGCCTATTCATTTGTCCCATCATCATTTATTAGAAAAATTATTTTTCTCTCCATAAATTATCTTGACATCCTTGTCAGAATAAATTCACCATAAATGTAAGAGTTTATTTTTGGTCTCTTGACTCTATTCCATTCATCTCTCTTGATCATTGTAGCTTTGTAGTAAGTTTGAAATTGGGGAATTGACTCTACAAATTTGTTCTTTTTTCAAGAGTTATTCTGGACTAATTGAAGTCCCGTATAAATTTTAAGATGTGCTTGTCAATTTTGAGAAAAATTTAACTGAGATTTTGACAAGAATTGTGTTAAATCTGTAGATCAGTTTAGGGGGATGCTGCCATCTTAACACATTAACCTTTCAGACCCATGAACACAGATGTTTTTCTGTTTCTTTAGAACTTCTTTGACTTCCTTTGACAATGTTTTATAGTTTTCCTTGTACAAGTCTTGCACTTTTTAACACAGTATCATTTTTCCGCTTTCCTTCTCAGGAGAATTAAGTGAACAACTAAGCCAGAAGATCTTGTATCCTGGAATATTCTGAACTTCATCCTTTGGGCAAAGTCTATAAAAAATACTTCTTCACGTCTGTTACCAGTTACTCTTCATGGCACCATTGCGGGAGAAAGTGTGCAGGAAATGTTTGACATTCAGTTGCTGGAAGATTTGGGTTTCCTCATCCATACAGCATGATGTCATTCCCTGCAAAGTCAGGGAGCTATGGCCCAATTCCTCAGTTGCCTTGGATTAACCCCCTCTGCCCTAACCTCTTTTCCAACAAAGATGCTCCTCACTTTGAAGATCTATAGTAAGGAAAACCAACCTCAAATGACTTTCTTAAAATAGCATAAAAGAGAAAAATATTGTTCAACCTCCTGCATGTAGTGTAAACAACTAATCCAGTTGCCCAACTTTCCTCCCTTTGGTACCAAATGTCGTACGTCTCATGAAACACTTGGGCTACAGGTGAAGTAAAACAGTTGGCCTCCCTACATACATGCTTCAACTTCTTCACTCTCCATTTCTAAATGCTTACTAATTTATTCATTCAAAAGTGTATTTTTATTACTCACCATATGCTACACACAGAACAAGACAGATCCAATTCCTGATTTCACTGAGCTCACAAGGAAAAAATAGTATTTCTTCTCTTAGTGTGAACCCTGTGGATAGAGTCTGTGCATCTTTACATTTTATAAGCAGAGCTGTGTAAAAGTGTATTTTAATAGTACCCGTTATGTAAGATGTATTTGTATATAACATTATTTCAACCTCAGCATGCAGTCTAGGCAAGATCCAAATCCAGAGCTGTGACACCTACAAGAAATTCCCTGTGGGCCCCACTGACCAAATCTGCATCAATTTGAACATCAAGGAAAATTACTGTAAATAAATATAACATATTAAATAAAAATATGCATGAATTTATGGTGATATATAAAACATCAGCCAATAAATGTAGAAGATATGATAAAATGAGAATATCATGTTGTTTTCAATATCCAGTAAGAGGCCACTAAAAGCACTGGGTGAAAGGCTGCTGGAGGACAGGCTGGTCCCACAGTGACCAAGAACCCCCTCAGATTACTGGTTCATCACAAGGGCCAAGGTGCACGTCTACAGCGTGGAGATCTGCCAGTCACCATCTGAACTTAATGATCAGGCTCAACATCACCACTATGGGAAACCTGACATCAGGTATCTCCTGAGAAGACATGAAGTTACAGCATCCCATTTGTGGTGAATAAAGAATTTTGACAAATCAGTCTAACCTAAACCTAATCCAGCCTTTAGACCAAGGGTGGACAAACTGGAGCATGCAGGACAAGTGCAGGCAGCCGCCTGCTCTGGTGAATAAAGATTTATTGGAGCACAGCCACACCCATTCATGGATGTATTGTCTATGGCTGCTCTCATGCTACAGTGTCAGAGTTGAGCAGCTATGACAGAGACTGTAAGAATGACAAGCTAAAAATATATACCACCTGGCCCTTTATAGGCAACCTTGTCAGTACCTGTTCCTCCATATCTAACTTTCAGTATACACGGAATACAGAGGACAGAAGAACAGGTTAAATGACATCAAGAGGAAACAATCAGGCAAGTTGAGAGTGTGGGGCATTCAACAAGCAATTGGCTTGGCTTCTTCTAAAGTCAATATCATTTTAAAAATGACTAGAGGCTGCTTGAGATTAAGAGACAGAAGTGACAATACAATCAAATTCCATGTCAATTTTAGTGGGACTCTGATTCAGATATACAGCTATAAAAGGTGTTTTGCAGGCAATTGGGATAATTTGAATATGCGTCAGATATTAAAAGTTATAAAGTTGTTAATTTTCTTGGTTGTAATAATCATATTATGGTTATCTGGAGAATATTCTTTGAAATCTTCAACATTTGTTGAAGGAATATTGAAGAATGGAGCATCATGATGTCTGCAAGTGACCATCAAATATTTTAGCAAGAACATGTATGTTTGCATATAGAACTAAAAAGACTTCTCAATGTAGCACTATGCTAATAATTGCTGAATCCAGATGACAGTCTCTTATATCACCCTTTCAGATTCTTTCTATGCTTAAAAATTGTAAATTGTAAGAAAAGTGACTACATATATTTAGTTATTAACTTATTAAAGATATCCACTCATAAATTCCTGATGTCCAAATCAAATGCTTTTTCTCCTGCAGAAAACTAATTTTGGGAAATGACATTTCATAAAATTATGAACTTTCATGGCTATATGGTGATGGATTTAAAATCTGAAAGTTGAAAATAAAATTTTTTAAATATTAGAAGAAAATACAGGAGATCTCTTAGGAAATAGAAAATGGAAATGAGTATCACTCCCAACTTAATAAGAAGAAAAATCCATATAAACTACAAAATCATTCATTCTCTTGAACCCATAAGAGAGCTGAGGCCACAGGGCAACAAAGTAACCTAAACTCTAAGGGAAGGCAGGCTCGTGCAGCAGAGACTGTCAGCGCACCGGCTCACCTGTGGCAGAGCACAAACGGCAGGGATCTGCGTGCCACACAAACGGTTAAGAAGAATCCACCTTCACTTTTTAATGATTGACCAGGGCCAAGGTGGGCAATTGCATGAGTGTAGAATTTCTGAGGGAGTGGCAGGAACGTGCAGAGACCCTCCCTGAGATGCAGCCACGCTGGGCAGGTCTACAGCTGAAGGCGGAGCAATGAGGAACACCCTCTGGCAAAACAGCCACAACCAAAAGCACAAGATCACAAGGTAACGGTAGAGTAAACTGAAGCCCAGGGCACAATGCCTCCTGACCAGATAAACTCAAGCCCCCTCAAAAGCAGCCTAGCAGAAGAATAGCGTGCCCACTTCCAGTAATAAATATAAATCCCTCAGTGTCTACTTGTGATGAGAAACAGCTATTTTGAGTTGCTGCCAAGCCATTTTATAGCGTCACAACCCTGCCCACACCCAGAGTCTGGACATTTAGATAACGACCTGAGCTTAGGATTTCTGCCACAAGTTCCTGTGGTTTCTTTTTTTCCCCTGGGGCAGCTTTTAAAATAACCACTTAGAGTCGAGCCCATGAAAAGTTAGTGACGTCTGCCCCAAGCACCCCATAATCGATAGGTGCTTGCTACCCTGCTCTCTATCTCCTGCCCTCATCACCTGGGCCAGAGGACTGTCCTTCCCTTGGTCATTGCACACACACCCTCCAGTCCTGTGATCTGTAAGTAATAAATCTTGTTACTTTACTGCCTTTGTTTGAGTGTGTGGAAACTGTACCTTCAGTCAGGACAACGCTGGGTTTTCACTTCCTCAGAGTGGGAGCTTGGATGCTGAGGGTGCCATCCACTGACCCACGGGGGTGGCTCATGCCTGCTCATTCAGCAGGTCACAATGCATATTCTTAACTTAATACACTAGCTATGGGCCCTCCCAAACACTACTGTCCTACACACATTGTCCAGCATTTGATCAAAAATTATGAAACACAAGCAAAAGCAAGAAAACACAACCCATGGAGAAATCAGAAGAACCAGAATTAAAGATAGGCTAACAAGCAGGAAATTTTAAATAACTAAGATTAATGTGTTAAAGGCTCTAGTGTAGTCGTTCTCACCAGGGGCACAGTTTTGCCCCAGGGTGCAATTTCTGGAGACATCTTTGGTTTCTCAGCTGGAGGGGTGCCTACTGGCATTTAGTAAGTGAGGGCAAAGGATTCTGCCCAACAGTCTACAACGCACAGGACAGCCTCGGCCACAAAGAGTTATCCAGCCCCCAAGGATCAATACTGCTGAGCTTGAAAAACTATGCTCTAACTCCTTTACGTTATAGATGCTAAAAACGGGTGTTTCCTTTCTCCCTTAGAAACAGGAAAATTTCCACAGCAACAAATAAAGCGTAAAAAGAAAGTAGGTTTCAAGAAGAAATTTCATGTTCTCTTCTGTTACCCTCAAGGTTGAGAAACCCTGTTCTACCCAAAAAGGTGGACAACATGTATGAAGATATGGGAAATTTCAAAAGAAAATAGAAGTAACAGTTTAAAATTTCATTAATAACATCCTTTCAATCAACAATCAAAATCCACAGGCATAGAGAAAAATTGACAAGCCTTACTACTGAAATAGAAGTGTCTGGATGATAAACTACACCATTAACAAAGCCTGAAGACAAGATGAAATATTTGCAACGTTAACAAAAGATTAATATCTAAGATGTACAAAGAACTTGTAAAACTCAATAATTAAAACTCTAACAAAATGTTAAAAAAGAAATGTAGAGGTAATTAACAGGAAAAGAAAAGTTCTAATAAGTATGTAGTAATCAAGGAAAGTGAGGTTAATATAAGGAATTGATACTGTCAAGCATCATACTGTAAAAATCTAGAGGGTTGGATAGCATGCAACATTGGTGAGACCATAGTGAAATGGATAGCCCCATATGGTACGAGGGTAAATTGATACAGACACTGTATGTTGCAATTTGGTACTAGCTATGAAAATTTAAGATGCACACACCCTGGGGCCCAGAAAGCCCACTTCTTATAACCTACCTTAGAGAAACGCTCCCATGTCCATAGAAAAATATTTACAAGAAGGATTTTTGCAGGATATGTGCCAAAGGGAAAGAGCGGAAGAGATGCAAGCAGTAGAATGGACAACACCAGAGTGGACCCTGATGTGGTCAGAGACCTTGGTGGTTGTGACGTGTCAATGGAGGTGCCTCCATTGTAACTGGGGTACCCGTCTGGTGAGGGATGTGGACAAGGCCATGCATGCGTGGGGGTAGGGGGCACGTGGGAAATCTCTGTACCTTCCTCAGTTTTGCTGTGAACCTAAAACATCTCTAAAAAGTTAAATTTTGTAAAAATAGAGCAATTTGGCCGAGGCTCAAATCTTCTCTAGAGGCTGCCCACTTGTTCTCCTGTCCTCTAAGGTGCCCCGGAAACTACTACACCAACGCGGTCACTCTCACACTTTGCTTCTGAGCTCACCAGTGAGCTGGGAGAATCTTCCCAAAGGACCGTAACCCAGTACAAAGACAAAAGCCTTTTTATGGCACTTAAGAGTGCACAGCAATAGCCATTCATTTTACTT